GAATGTAATGCACAAGTTAAGTAATTCCAGGGGTCTTATAGTGGCTAGCTCTCTTCTATTGATACAAACTTTCCTTGAGATTTCTCAATCCTCCAATGAACATATCAATTAATAGGTCTTATAGTGGCTAGATCGAAAGAACAGCAAGAACACATCAATAGCAAAATGTTATAACACCGTCTCCTGTGTGCCTCAACAGATAAGTAACCAACCAGCTCGAAAAAACAGCAAGTAATAGAATGCTGGAATCAAATATGCAGATGCACTCCAAAAATACCACACTACGAAGAGCATATCACTCTCCACAAAAGCAATTGCACTCTCCAAAAACGTCAAAGCAGATACAGCAGAAGCCGAACCAAACAGGGGAATTCGAAATGTATGTTCACTGTCAAAGTAAGGAATGGGGAAAACGAAAATAGGAGATGTAAGAATCAAAAACACAACTTCCTGATCGCTAGCAAGAGAAGAAGGGAATGATCAATCCCCCTCCTAACCGAACTCAACATCATTTGGAGGAAGAAGAGCAAGGTATCATGACATTCACAAGCCAACTCCACATCAATTCGACAGCTCATATGCACTGTCATGTATGCACTTCACACAACTAATTGCATTAACAACTACCACTACACATGAATCAACCACCACAACCACAACCTCCGACCAACCTTGAGCCGTCAGCCACCAAACAAGAATGCGTCAAAGGAGAAGGTAAAGAGAAGGCATAACCCTAGTGATGAACGAAAGGGGTAAAGAACATCACAGTCGTCTTTTCCATGTGTTGAAGAAAAAATCGCCGAAGTAGGAAGGATAGGAGTAGAGAGAACATCACACTCGAAAAAATCGTAAAGAACCCTCAAATCTGCGATTACAAGAAGAAAAATGCTCGTTATACCTCAGATCTGTCGATCGCGGGGCAACGAAGCAAGAGGACGAAGGAGAGCCGCAAGGGAACTCGTTAGGGCTGCAGAGAAACGAAAGGGGTAAGCGGGACAATGGGTAAAGGAAAGCGGTGACCGCGGCCTAATATCGCGGCCGCGGTTCGATCCGCTTCGCCAAAAATTTGCCGCGAAACGCCGAACCAAACGCCGGAATGCGGGACGAAGCCGCGGTCGCACGCCGCGCCGCGCAGCAGAAGCCGAACCAAACAGCGCCTAAGAGAGAAAATGATTGGAACTTTTTACTTATGGGAAGAATTGGGAGAGAGAGAGAGCATGAATGGAGTAATGGAAAGTACCAACAATTATAGAAGCTCTTTTCCTTCTTTCCCTCTCCCTCTTTCTCTCCCCCCTAAAAAATTAACAATGGCCTATGATAAGGCGGCTCATGGAGTGGTTAGATGAGGAGTAAATATTACCTCTGGGCAAATACTATAATCTATAAAATAAGTGACAATTCACATATATATATATATGAATATTTTAATAATTTACTATATATATATATATATATATGTATATATATATGTGTGTGTGTGTGTGTGTAAATAGAGAGAGAGAGAGATTGAATTGTAGGTCAACATAATACAATTCATTATAATTAATTAGATTAACATGTAGGGGCCTTTGTATAGTACTCAATCTAACTAAAATTTGGCTTAGGCTTAAATCAAAATGCTAATAATTGAGTTAAGGCTAGCTCATTTAAGTTCAATTCTAATTATATAGAATAAACACCTATACCTTTTGCATTAATACCATCCAAATCTTTCATAACACCAACAAATAGCATCATTTTAACTTGAAAAAAATCAAAAGTTTCTTCATTGTAACACAACTATACCAAAAACAGTGTACAAATGAGACAGAAGTGAACACCACTACACATATACAAGCACCTCATAAGCCACTGCAGTTCTTAAAAATAAGCAGAAACCTCCATTACAATAAAATTTACAGTGGAATCAAGACTGCAAAGCTTTGGATTTCCTCTAGCAATTCTGCAAAAAATCCAATTCACCAGCTAAAATTAGTAAAAAGTCTCAAACTTCTAGATATAAACATGAACTAATAGAACAGGTGATGATGATTCTTCTAGTAAATCTGCATCAATGGTTAAGGCATGCCCCAACTCCAACCTATCTCGCCTGTCATTGCGGATTCAATCTTCTACTTCAACAAACCGGCCGCAGACCCACTTTCTCGTCTTTGCCGAGACTATTTTGGGATCGTTTCGCTTTCTCGAATCTACTGTTTCTGCTCTATCTGACTCAATTCTCTTCAGATGATGAGAAGGTAGAAGTTGGTCCTGAGATGCTATGAAGCCTTCCTCGGCGTCTATTCCACAACTCATTTCATGTTGGTTAATTTCATCGCCATTCTCAAAGGAAGACGGATTAGGGAATCCGTTCACAAGTTTTTCAGTTAGCATTGATTGGTTTATCGTAGCAGTCGTATTGGTCTGCAGGTGCTTTTCCAATCCATCCGAATTACTGTTGAAGTACGAGTCGACTTCGCTTTCGTATGACATAAATGGTTCCCTCTCAATGGTTTGAAGTGATAAATTTGCCTCAGCAATCAGCTTTCTGGTTTCCAGAAGTGAAGCTTTTGCCAGAGGGCTGTTCAGGGCAGCTGCCTCGAGAGCTTCTGCAGCTCTCTCAGCCTCAGCAATTAGTAGCCTGAACAAGCAAAATGGAAACTAAGCTTATGAAAGTAAAATTACCATTGCAGCAAAATCATTAGATATGGGTGCCAAAAATTGACCTAACAAGCTAAGTCGACTCAAACTTGAGTCAAAATTCAGGTTTGGTTCAGGTTAGAAATCCTAACCCGTTTTATTTATTTGGATGGATTTGGTTTGACCTATCAATCCGAAATTGACCTCTCAACCCAAAATTGACTTGAAATTTACCTACGAACCAAAAAGTGACTCAATATTGACTCGAAATCAACCCTAATTTGACCGGAATAGCTATCATATATTATGTTGAATGGGTTATATGAGCGGATTCGAGTCAACGAGTTGAAGGCGGGTCGAGTTCAAGTTGGATATTCGGACACATTTAACATTCAGGTCGGGTTAGGTCAGGTAAAGATATGTTGGGTCGGGTCATACCCATACCGGACACGCAAACCCAATTTAACACTCCTAGAACATATATAGGAAGAAAATAAATCATCAATATGAAAAATCATGTGTTAATGCCTGATCAGATAAGAAGTAGAACATATTTAGGCTTGAACAGATAACAAGAAAAACATACTTGGCCCTCCTGGTGGCTTCTCTTTTCTTGGATTCCATTTCTGCTCTATCTGCTTTAATTTTCTTGAGCAAATCTAACTTGACACTGGACATTGGATCCTTGTAGGAAGGAGCAGAGTTTCTTCTTTTCTTATATGTTTCTTGCTTGATGTTCTTCAGTTCAAAGTTCAATTGAGCAGTCTGTTCAGATTTTTTACTGATAGCACCTTTTTCAGAAGTTTCTCCGGTAGGTTTTCGCCTTTGCTTTTTATTCGATCCAATCACTGTGCCATGATACTTCGCCAATGCAGCATGAACTCGATCACGATATTCCTAAGAGATCGAGAAAAGGTTAAAAAATTTCAAGAGAATTTTGATAATTTGTGAGGGGAAAGGTGAAAAAAAGGCAGTTTCATGGTTTGTTTTTTACAGGATCAGCCCATTTGGCAGAGATGGACTCTGAAATCTTTCGCCGCTGCTCGAGAGATTTTGGTGTCCTCTTGCTGCCCTTTGGCCTCGGCATTGATTTCCTCTTCTCGATGCTTTCCAACCACTCCTGCTTCAGTTGTTCATTTATAACCTTATAGGAATCCCATTGCAGCTCAACCTCACCAGCATAACCTTTCCTTGCTGCTTTTGCAATCATGTTTTGCCATTCAAATATGCATTTTTGTTGAACAGTTAAAATTTTGCGTCGTCTTCGCCAACCCTGCCTCACACCTACTGCAATTTTCTTCTTTGTGTCATCACTACATGGCGAGAAAAAAATATATAAAATCGAAATGTATAATCACATAAGAATGATGAATTTAAACTATAGAAAAGCTACAATAAAGTTTCATTTTCATGATTCAATTAACCGGAAAGATGACAAAACTTTAAAACACCACTTCAAACATTTCTTCATGTTGCACATCATGTTTTAAAGGATAGAGTGATACCAGAGTTTTACCCAAATAGCGATAAGAAAATCAATTATTATTGCTGAATTCAAAATAGAGAAATACAAACTCATGAACGAAAATAGAAATACCAATAGCAAACTCAACCATGATTGTATCCCAAAGGCGTGGTGCTCGATTATAAGCGATGGAAGGGTAATGGGTGGCTGCAGGAGCATGGAGCAGGCTGGAGGAGAGGGGGAGGGGTGCTGGCTGCTGACCGGCTGCAGGAAAACAGCAGGAAGTGAAGTGACGGAGGTCGCTGCAGCCAGGCAGGATGGTTGGGGCAGCTGGGAACAGCCGTGGACACAATGGGGTGGTGGCACTGACGTGAGAGAGATGGACAGCAGGAAATGGCTGACCAAAACAGCAGATGTGGGCTGTTTGGGATTGGCAACGGCAAGGTTGGAGAATGGACAGTAAGTTGGTAGCAGCAAAGGCAGGTAAGGGTGGCAGGAATGGTTGGAGAACAGCGAGGAGTCAGCAGTAGAAGGTAGGAAGGGGCAGTAGGGAGGATTGGTGGCTGCAGGAACACCACAGACGCTTTTCTTCAGGGGCGGCCGCAGCAAAGAAGGTGACGAGAGTGGCAGAGGGAAGGCTGTCCCGACCATAACATACAATCAGAAAATTAAAAACTTACGGTAAATGAAACACATATATAAGCCCTAGATAAATAAGATCGGATCCCTCTATTAAAAGGAGACGTCAAACCACAGTGGAATGGCCAATCAGCTCTTCCAGGTCTGGATTGGTTCGGTCTAGACGAAGGAAGCATTGGATATTTCCCGCAGCACCCTTTTACTCCTGCGTCAGTCTCTCGAGATTGGAGGGGCTTCTACTTCATTCATCAAAGCTTTTGTCTGCATCTTGAAAGTAACGGAGGCGTTGTGACTCCCTGGGAGTTGAATGATCTTCGACTCTTTCCTGAGAAGCATCAGGATCCCAATAAAGACTGCATTGTTCCCTAAAATACCTAAATAGTTTTCCCCACTTGCGAACAGTCATTCATGTTGGTCCAACTATATGAGGACGCGCTATTGAACTGAACCATAACTTTGTTCTAAGTGTACCTCGCAAAATCTTCCAAATCTAGTCCTAGGTTGACTTAGTTCTACCTAATGTGAGAACAGACAAAACTTACTCTAACGGTGGGCCATGGTAGCGACCATGGTGTTAAGGTATCGATCATGATGTCCTGACATGATCTCTGTAGTGACGGGCCTGTATATGGAATCGAAGCCTCTGTCATACTTTCTTCTATCATCAACAATATAGATCCTACTGGCACTACTTTGTTGATAAGAAAACCTATAATCTAGGACTCCGTAAAAAGTAGGACTATGTGGTTGCCATCCTTGGTGAAGGAGTAGGTATTCCCGAACCCATCATGCTAAGTCCGGTGATCAAACTATCACAGCCTTGCCAACAAAAAGTTGAGCACCATGTCGCACTAAGTTTGATCATGAAGCTAATTCTCAATCAAAAACTCCATGAGACACATGCCAATGTTCACTATGTTCTTTTCCCTCAACCATATCAGGGAGGATAACTGAGAGTGTCTTTGAGTCATGAGGCTCAACTTGTCCACCATCTGTGCAGATGTTACATTCTTACTGCTCCCTCCATCAATGATGAAACTCCATCTCTTTCCCTTCACAGAGCAACAAGCGTAGAATATGTTATGACGAAGTCAATGCTAATCCCTCGTAGCCTCAATTCGTGGAACTCATCGAACTACAAGCATCTCACCCTCATCTGGTGGAATATGATACTCCTCACTCTTTTCTTCATCTGTTTATTCATCGCTAACTTCCTCTACTGCACCATACTCGGAAAATGACACAACTCGGTTTGTCGTGCAACTGGAGGCTATGTGCCCATATCCATGAGATCTGAAGCATTTCCTGACTATGATTGTAGCGAGCATGCAACTCTTATTAGACTTCTCCCTCTGAGTAACTCTATCATTTTCCTGACCAGTTTTCTCAAATCCCTGAGGTGTGTTGTTGATGTCTCCAACTACGGGTGGTTATCTAAATGGTGATGGGTGTCTGCTCTGTTTCTACGTTCTCTCCACCTTCACTCCAAGTTCTAAACTTCAAACAAAGGCATATAAGGTTGTAGCTGGACCACGTTACCAATAGAGGGCTTTAATCAGCCCAAGTACCAAGCCATTGTGGGCTCCTCTAGCTTCGTCAAATCAAATTTCAGCATTAGTTGTATAAACTCTATTATGTACTCCTCCATCGATAGGTCCCTCTCATGTGGGTAGTGGAGCCTCAAGAAAATATCCTGACGGTAATGTGGGGGTAGATATTGTCGCTACAACTCTTACTTCATATTCTCCCAGTTAGTAATCTTGTTTCATCCTTCTCTGTCTCACCCTTTTCAGGTTCTACAACCACAACGAGGCGCTCTTTTTCAGTTTGATAGCAGTTGGTTTCACTTTCTGATCATGTGACGCCTCCTTATATTTAAAGTTTCTCTCGACGATTGGCAGCCATTCCCTAGAAATGTGGTATGTCCATTTTCACTCATCAACCTCCGTATCATTCGATAGGCACTTCATCTTTGTATCCTCCAGCACACACTTCATCTCTATATTCTCAAACATGAACTTCATTATTGTATCATCTATCAGGTACTTCATCTATGTATCCTCTAAAATACACTTCACTTCTCAACCTCATCTCATACTGTATCCCAAAGCGTCTTGGCAAGTCTTCTTCTCCACTGGAATCATTCCTACTGAAGGGATTAAGGTATTCATCCTTCTCTCCTTCGGGGATCTCACTATCACACCATAGGTTTTTTCCTCTAGTTCTATGAGCCGTCATAACACTCGACAGAATTTCCATTGCATCTCGTCTAATGGTAAGCTCATGTCAGGTTCCCTAAATAATTTTTCTGCACCCTAAATCAGTCTCATGTACCCTCTTATACCTCCCAAGCCTATAGGTCCAATGCCCACAAAATCATAGCAAAATCTAGACCTAATCATAATTCTCCCTTGCCAATTTTCAAAATCAGCAACCCTAAATAATTTTCTACACCCTAAATAAGTCTCATACACCCTCTTTCACCTCCCAAACATAAACCTTAGTCATACCACTGAGAAGACAAGTGTCATAATTCGATGGCCCTCCAATCCCTGAGGTTACAGTAGCTCCACCACATTCAACGGGACAGACCTGACACAATATCATGAGGAGTCAGAAGCTTCAACATATTAGATCAAAGCTCCATCAACCCAGTAGATTGACGTGGGGCGGGGAGGGAATCCCAAACCAGTTAGGTCCAAGTGAGAGAGGGTTTGTCGGCCCACTTTGCTTGAGCTAGGGTTATTGCCTACTCTTAATAGAAACAATGGTGTTTTCATCTCTTTTTTTTCATTTAGGTTGAGGACTTTTGTTGATTATAAATACATAGTTGTTGATTGTATTATGGTTGTATCTGTGGCATTGGGTGGTGGCAATCGTATCCCTCCATTGTTGATGGTAACATCCTGGGTCTCCTTCCTTCATCTATACTTTGCGTGGTGATTTATGTATCTCAATCGGTTGTGAGAATGGGAAATTCTCGTATCTTTTACTTGATTAATGCATCTCATCTTTATTCTGGTTATTTTTTTCCCGTCTCGAATTACTTAGTTATTTTTGTTGAATCTTCTCCAACCTCCTATTATCAGATATCACCTTCAATATTTATCAAAATCTCTACCAATAGCCATTTCTTCTATCAAGCGCTAAAGCTAAAATGAAAATTTTTTTGCGGCGACATATTGATAATGGCAAACCTAGAATTTACACTCTAGAATAAGCCCCTTAAATTGAGAGTATTCCAATCTAATGCTAGTCCTTAAAAAAAGGATTCTATAGACTATAGAAAAGAATTAAAATAAATACATAACCTCTTTCTAAGCCTATTCAAAACAATCTCAGAACATTCAGATGTCCATACAATGCATTTCTGCTTAATTCATAATGGCAGCAACAATATAAGATGATAGGTGCTCGGACATTCTAAAATCAAAGAAAGAAACTCACCTCTGAGCATGTCCCAGATTCATCAGTTTCCTTTTGACCTGCAAATTGAACTTCCTCTTTAGCCATATTTCTCCAAAATAAATAGTTCACTAAAGCTTGTTTTTTTTATTTTTTTTTATGTTAGGATTCGGTTGACAATACTTAAAGCACAAATGAAAATTTCATGCAGGTAAATCTATGCTTGTGAACCCGTGTAAATTAATATACTCTATAAAAGTAGTCAATTACCTTGTCCATATGTGTGAACTGAGCAAATTTCATGCTGGCTTATTTAGGGGTCGTTTGGGAATACTTTTATTTTTCATTATATATTTTTACATTTTACTTTTAATTTTACTTTGCTTATTTTTTACATTTTAGTTTTTAGTTTATTTTTCTTGTATTTTGATTTGAAACAAAACCTATTTGGCATGTTGAAAACAACTGTAGTTGTTTTTAAGAAGACTCTAGACTTCTAAAAGTAGTTTTTAGTATTTTTAAAATCAAGTTTATTTATTTTTTTAAATAAAAATATGTAAAAAATATACTAAATAAACACAGTTCTTAAAAATAAAAGTAAAAAAACAAAAAACAAAAAATAAAATAAAAAAATGATTCCAAACAAACCCTTAGTTATTTTTAAGGCATCTATCCCATGATGTCCCAAAAACTTGTGGAAAACCAAATTTGATACCGTATCCCATAAACTAGACATAAATCAAGAAGAGAGCTATATAAACAAAAAAAAAAATCAAATTCATGAAAACTCGTGGATCATAAAGTTCAAAATGTTTAATCTTAAAAACAGCTCAAATCTGCAAGCATTTGCAATAATTTTAGCAATTCTGATGTTCCTTGAGCTAAATAACGTTTTTTTAATGAAACTGGGACACCATGAAAGATACATTGTACTTAATATATAATCTTATGATTACAAATGTCATAATATATATGGACAATAACATACATCAACCTAAAACATTAGATATTTACACCCCCATTTCTAAGGATAAACAACCTTGAGACATTTAGGTAGAAAATGACGAAGTATGTAAGTGAACAGTTAGATCCGCTCATGCAAAAGGATAATAGAGTGCTTTCAAATCTACAATTATATTTCACTATTAAATGCATAATTACGTTTAATCCACACCAGAAACATACACAGACAAACATTTGTTAGTATAAACTCATAAAAATGGAAGTGCTACTGGTGTAAGCTATACTTGAGTTAAAAACACTGAATAATCAAGATTCAAAAATCCTATGGATCGTCCATCAGATTTGTCACAAGTAATTCATGTTTGATAGTAATACAAGTGATAAAATATTAATGGAAATTGAGTTTGCGAAGAACTTTTAATACTTAATTGTTTGGAAGAGAAGAATCTGATGTAGAGCAGAATTTGACAGAAAAAAATAGGAGATTGGGAAAGATACGAATGAAAATCTTAAAGGAGGATGGCAAGAAATAGAGAAAAGGACTAAAAAATAATAATAATTCGTATGGTATGAAAATTATAATGCACCCATTCTCTGTAATAATTAAATGTGTTATGTTGGGCATGCCATTTATCCAACATGTGCTCAACAACTATCAGCGCACCATATACATGTCTAATCAAAAAATAAATTAAATTAAAATACAAGTATATCCGAGAGACGTGTCATTAGTGATAAATTTTAATTTTAAATGTATATTATATAAATAACTTGATTCATTTCTTCTCTTTTATTTTAAAAATATATTATTTAAAAAATTTCATTGCTCCTTAGCATTAATTATATTTACCAAGGTTGTAAAAACTGGATTGGTCATTAAACTGGAAGAATGAGATATTGAAGATTCAAAGGCTCGTCCAAGATTGAACCGAGGGTTAAATCGAACGACATAATAAATATTAAAATTATTTTAATATGATTAAATGATGCAAAAATATAAATATGTGTTAACAATAAATAGAAATTAAACACAAAAAATGACTTTAATAATTTTTAATTTAAAATTTGATGTAAAGCTCATCAAAATATAATTATGTTTATTATAAACACAAGCGCGCGCGCGCGCGTATATTAAATATAGTTGGAAAATAAAAAATATAGTATAGATATAAAATTATTGAAAATTTAGTCTCACATAACAAAAAAAAAAGGATTTCACTTTATATAGAAAAAATGGTTCTACAACATAGCTCATTAGTCACCTAAGTGATGGCCATATAATGAATTAGTTTGATTACTCCTATCAATTTTTATATTTAAGATTTATAATTATATTTTTGACTTAACATAATTTATTAATTATATTTTATATAAAAAAAATTCACAATTTAATTGAGAGTAAAAAATAATTAAATAAGCAATTTGACTCATTCACTATAATCGAGACAGGCTCACCAATTAGCCGATTTGACTGGCGGTTCACACAAATTTTCACGTTTGATCCGAAAACGGTTATTGAGGTTACCCAAACCAGTCATATGCCCGGTTCACGGTCGAACTGGTTGAATCGGTCGGTCCTTCCCGGTTTTTTAAATCTCTATATTTACTTTATTCCATTCCATTACTCTGATTTTTTTATAGTACTTATTTTTTATTCTTTTCAAAGATTCAAATATTTTAACTTCAAGCAAACAAAAATCATGTGTTTATTCTTCTTTTGTTGAGTCTAAAGGTATTTAACAAGTTTATTCTTCTTTTGTATGAGTACAACAATAACAAGCCTTTATCCAACTAAGCGAGGTCAGCTACATGAATCCTTTTTCTCCATTGTATCATATTGAGTGCCAAAATTTCATTCAATTCTACTAAATTAAGTTCATTTTTTATACAACATGCTCGAGTCTTTTTAGGTCTATCTATACCTTCCTAACATAAGTCAAATATTAAACATGTACTCTATTAATTGGGTCATCAAATGGTCAACGTTTAATGTGACCAAATCATCTAAGACGACTCTCTAATCTTGTCTGCCACTGGAGCTACTCCAACACTTTCATGAGTATATTTGTTTTGCATTTTGTCTCTGAGTGTAAAGCCATTCATTCAACTAAGCATTCTCATATGAACAACGCTTAATTTCATGCTTTTCTTTTATACGCAACATTCTGCGTCACAAGACATTGCAGGTCTCACTGTCATCTCATAAAATTTTCATTCAAGTCTAAGTAGTACTTTTCTATCACATAATAGGTCTAATGCATTCCTCCAATTCAACCATCCTCCAACTTCAATGCTACTAATAACATCTCCATCGATATCACCATCACTTTGAATAATAGACCCGATATATCTAAAATGTTCACTCATTTTAATGACTTGACCACCCATTATTACAACTCCACCACTAGATCTACTACTATTAAAATTACATTCCATATATTCGGTTTTAGATCTACTCAAACAAGAGCCTTTAGACTCTAAAGTTGACCTCCATAAATTGAAATAAATTTATTATTATATTAATTCATTTCATATGATTTAAGTTGTGTAATAAATATATATATATTTTTTATTTTTAAAATATAATATTATAATATCATAGCTAAAGCGTGCCTACATCATATATTTTCAATAATAGATGCGTCTCATGTCCCTGCCATATTTAGTCTATGCCCATGTCAATATCAGTGAATCATAGCATGAAACATGTGAGAAGAATTAATTCCCAAACAAGGATATAAGAAAAAAGCCCGTTCTTTATTCCATCATCAATTATCAAAATTATAAGACCTTAGACATTAATAAAAAGCTCCATTCAAGATGACAAAATAACCCTTGAACAAATAAATAAAATATCAAACGTCCCAAATGATAAATGATGTTTTAACCACTAATAATTAAGTATGATGGCATAATAAATTAAATAATATTATAAAACATAAAGACTTGTGACTAAGGGTTAAGGAAGACAAGTCACTAAATTTCAATTTCTTTCGGGTTCAAAAAACATTTACCAAACCTCATGAGTTGACGAATCGTTGTAAGAGAAAAAAAAATGAAAGTCCTCAACTGGACTTGATGACTTTTGAAGCCATCCCGCAAAAGAGAAATAAAAGTATTACGAAGATGTGAAAAGAGAAAACTATCCTAATAAAGATGTTGTGAATAACAAGAACAACATCATCATCAATAAAATCGACAAAAATCACTAGTCATAGATCATCAAGATCGCAGCTCTGGAAAGACGCCTGTAGAAACTTGGACATTTTCATAAATAGTGCTAAATTAATTCAATTTGATTGATGTATTGGCTAACTGAAGCTAACTTTTCTTCTTTTTTTTAAATAGCATTTGAGTTTATGATTAGGCTAGGTTGGGTTAAAACTAATTGAGTTGGGTTGGGTTAGGCTTAAGCAAACAGGATTGGATTGAATTTATCTAAATTAAAAAAATAAATGCCCAAATCCCACGGCCTGATCTCTCATTCTCGCAGCCCGATTCAGGTTTCAGCCTTTAGTCTCACATCATAAGCGAGAGTTTGCATTGCACCATTTATATGAAGGAAAAAATTTTACAGCATGACTTTGTAACACATCTGGGTGTTGGACATACTATGGATTGATTAAACTCATGTAAATGTGATTTGAGAACTTTAAATCCATGGTTATATGTTTAACTTATATAATTTGTAGATTTAATTTTTAAAAGAAAAATTTTAGCCCATTAGACTAAAAAATAAAGCTGTTAAAAAAGGTTATGTTTGGACCGCCCGATTATATATAATTGAGATCAATTTGCTGATAAAATCAACGGTTCTAAATGATTTGCATGTTTGATGCAAAAATGATCGCTAAGACTAACCGAACCGAATATATGCCTCATTCATGGTCAATCGGATTGAATTGACTGGTCAACTCCGATTTTTTTTTTTTTTTTGAAACCTTTAAGGAAATATTGGAATCTACATTAATAGAATCGTTTAGGTAGCTAATTATTTTTTTAGAAGAATACATGATTTACAAGAAAGAAAAGAAGGACATTTGATGTATAATGATTACAAGTCTATGGTTACTAATGCAGCTGAAATAAGATACATAAGCTACAAAAAAAAAACGACAATCCGAAAATTACAAACTCTTAAGCAAAGTTAGTAACTACTAATAATGTAAAAGGTGGCAAAACATGCTTCTTTCATGTATAAAAATAATTTAGTAGTTTTCAGAATTTGAAATTATACAAGAAATGGTGATCAAATATAAAATTTCACTCATAACAGAAGGGAAGTTCAAAATCCCAATCAAATGCAAAACTAGCCACTAAAAATATAAAATATGAACATTGATAGAAACCGCCGGAAGACAGTTCTTCACTACCATGAAGCACTCAAAAAATACACATCAACCAAAACAAGAATGTTGTGGGAGTAGAGTTTTATTTCAATACTGAGGTCCAATGAAGTTTACATGCCGTAAGGGTCCTAAAGATGGCCTACAAAAAAGCTAGAATAAGTAACTTCACAAGATATGTCAAGATTCATTCAAATATAATAACTTCTGATGCATCTTTCATGAATATCAGTAGCAGAACTCTCCCATAAATGTCTAGTACCTCATTTGTAAAATCCAACTCATTTTTGAACAACGAATTATTAAAATAATAGAAAAAACAACACTGAAATAGGGACCACCAAAACAAAGATAACAAAAGCAATGGGAAACGTGAATAAACGAATAGCAATAGGTAGAGTAATAAGAATAGAGCAACAAGAATTAAGAGGTATGGTAAGAAATTGAATGGTGAAAGGTTGGGCATGAAGAAAAGCAAAATTGCAAAAATAATAGCATAATCCCGTGGTTGTAGCAAGAAGCAGCTTCTTAAGCTCTTAGTACCTGGCTTATAAAAATTTGGCTCCAACAAATTTCACATATGATATTTGTTAAGCAAATATGGGAAAAGTTGTTATGCTTCTTACAAGATACCCTATAAATTATCAAAAATAGATTTAAAATCCCAAGGCATAAGAAACTTGTGATATTCACCATCAGCAATATACATAATCCACCATCCGTTATCATGATAGTTTTATTTGAGCTTAGATTTTGGATCAAACACATATTCAAGTTTTATTTCTATTAGAGGCTTGGCATTAGAATTTATCTCAGTTTTAACCATATATTCAAATTCAACTACTATTACTTGCTCAAGCATAGGCTCTTGAGTTAATGAAAAACTCTCAACATAGCTGCATACTCAGATTCAAAATAATCAAATACAAATTCGATCTCAAATTCAAACTTTAACTCTAATTCAGATTAACACTCAGTACTATTTACTAATATAGTTAGAAAATGAGAATTTGATACGAGCAACATCTATAGTAATATATTGAAAGTAAGGATGCATATAGTCTACAATCTCTTGAACGAGTATTATTACTTCGATTTCATGGCAGCACTTGAGACTGGATAAAACAATATGCATTTTTCTTACATGACTTCACCTTGGGATCCTGCATTGCCAACTTGGTTCTCTCTCGGATCTTTTGTAGAGTTTCTGACAAAAAATAACTCGTGAAAATAAAAAGAAGAAAGAAACTGAATTCCTCAATAAAAGAGGAAGATTTACATATACCACTCAAATCCTATGTATTTAACTGTCTAAAACCAAAACTTTGATCTTTATATGTCATCTTACCTATGCATAAGAAAATGTATTTTAATTTTTAAAAGTTAAATAGTGATATTTTTATGTGCATAAAAATCTAGGTGGAAGAAATATAAAAAATAAAGTTTAATCGCTAAGATAAATAAGTAGGCATTGGGTGGTATGAACCCAAAAAATAAAAGAAGATGTAAGATGCATCAAGACTTCACAGGAAACTAGAAGTATATACCTGGGCTGTGTTTTCTTCCCTTGTTCCATGGAATATTACCCTTGTTTGCATTTGAAATCCTCATTCGTCTTAATGTCTCCCTCTCGTCTAACTCCAGAAGATCAACTGAAGATTGAGCCATTTGACTGTCGGGGCTTGAATCAAACCACAAACTAGAATCATCCATGAAGTAATTTTCGGAAGTTATTAAGCAATATGGTTCAACAGTAGCAACAGCTTTGATAAGAAGTTTGCATTGCTTCTCAAGATACCACGCTTTGAAATTTGATTTTTCTGGTAATTGGAATTTCACCCGTTCAGGATTTAAACCGTTTTCTTTATAAAAGGTAGGAACTCTCTGAACAGCTTTAGCAGGGAAAAGATGTTTTTTCTTAGCTACACAAATATGACCATGAAAGGAAGCATATGAAGCCACAATAACTGCACAAAGTTAACATATAATTAGAAAGCAACAAATATTAGGGAAAAGCCAAAAATGATGCCGAAGACCACTATTTTTAAATCCTCACACCAAGCTTTTATGATTTTCAAAACAAAAATTAAGGGGATTTCACATACATAGCGCACAATTATTATGTATTTACATATTTCACAACTAAAGTTTCGTATTTATGCACATGCCACTCAAATCTTTAATATCACCTCAAATATAGCACAATTACCATTTTTTAAAAGTAAAATACACCTTTTCATGCACAGGTTTAAAGCGCCAAAGTGTTGTGTGAGTAAATATGAATGTTTAGGAGTGATATATGTAAATACAGAAGAATTATGTGTGACGTGTGTAAATTTTCCAACAATTAAAGATAGAAAAGCTAGGACGTTGGTGATTATTCTTAGGGATGGCATTCAGTTTGATCAAAAAGTGATTAAAGAATAAATACAGGTTAGAAAAATTTGAAGCATACCCAAAACTTTATCACCCTGAATACATGAGAGTTTTGCAAGGTAAAAAACATGTTTTTGTGGAAAATTACGTTTGATGAACATCAAAGGCATTATTATATCTGTAATATCAAACAATAAACTGGAGAAAAGTTACATATGATTCTTTAAGCATTATGCAAGAAAGAAAGAACCTTCAAATCATGAGCAGAATGATATGAAAAATCAGTGTATTGAGTAATTGGGCTTAGTTCCATATGAGATAGGTGAAAATTTTATTGGTATAAAATATCAAAAGACTAGCGCCCTTCGCCAGATGTTTAATTTGACCAATTCTCACGAGCCAAACTTTGGTCCCCTTTCGTTAAGCTCAATAACACAACCCTTTCAAGAGTATGCTAAGCAAATAAATGATCGTTTATATTCAAATAAAATCACCCCTCTTGTTGAAAAATACCTTCTTATTCATAAAAGGTTTAGCTGAAGTTTATGTTAGCACCAAACAAACCATAAATGAATAACAAGAATTAGTAAATAGAAGAACAATTTTTAAACTAGAATGAAAGTAATTATTCGACGAAAACAACTCAGATCTATGTTGTTATTAATAATGATGAACTAAGACTACAAACTGTTTAAATGGGAGATTGAATTAAAGAACCACAAATGAAATGTAAAATAGCTCACCTGACCAATTACATAGACCATAGACAAATTAGTGCTACAAAAGCATAGCGCTCAGTAAGGAAATGACAGACTAAAAATGAATCTCACTGTCCACTCCTAATCCACAGATTAATGCAGTTTGCAAATTATATTAAGTTTCATTTTCTCACGTGTCATAATTAAGATTCCATCAAATTATTTCATTGCCTGGTAACTCAACAAAAAAACTGCCCAAAAATCAACACTCAATCCCCTAAAAACTTTTTACATAGCGTTTTAGCCAAAAACTCTCAATTTTAGTGCCAATTGAAGATTTTCATTGTCTACTTACAAATCATAGCAATGCAAAAAATTATGTCTGAGAAAATGTCTCGTCAATTTTAATTATTTAAGAAAATGAAAGCATGATGCCAAATTTCTTTGAATTCATAACATAAAATATCTTAAGCAACATCATTATTAGACTTATCCATGAAAGGGAAATAAGTTCTATGAATGCTACTTGACCATCTATTCTTGTTAAGCGCCAAGTGAAATGCTAATTCTAATCTAGATAATTTTTTGCGCAACTTTTAGCTATGTTATAACTATTCTACCGTTGTTTTTCATATTAATTTTACATAAATTTTATCAGCTAAATTATTTGTAAACATGCACATCCCAAAACCACATAAACCTATTTTCCACAATCATATTTTCAGCAAATATTCACCCACGCTCTCATATTAGTAATATATTCTTACATAAATCTATCATTCCCAATTTCAAATGTCCATATTAACATTATTTTTCTATTGCATTCAACTAATTTTAGGTACCTGGTAAACTATCCAACACTTAAATTCAAATAGAATGGGCATTGACAATTTTATTATTCTTATTTAAAATTTACTTTTAAGTGATATCCCTTGTCAAATAATCGTCATTAGAAAATTAAACATTTTGACCATTCAAATTTACTTCAAGAAGTTGCGTCATCATTTGTGCAACATTCTACAAAGAATAAATTCAAGACACTTAAATCACACTTATATGCAAAATAATCTTCCAAAAATATTGAATTATATTTACAAATGTACACCAAAAATATCTCATGATTTAGGGTCATTTACTAAGGCTAACTTAAACTTTTTAACGTGAATCTGAATTTTCCAAAGCTATCATGAACCCGCCAAGGCTATTGTAAATTCATAAAGGTAGAGGAGAGTTCACCTATTTGTTCATTCTGACATCATCAAAGTTCATAAAAAAAGATGGTTTGCGAGTACCAGTTGTTATATTATAATTGGACAAGATAGCTGAGATTTTAAAGAGGACCAATGTGACAAAAGATAGTTTGCGAAGACTGTCTAATATTCTCTATTAACGTTCTTCTTATTTCTTTCTTATTGAAAATAATAATAATATCGGTTAGTTCATTTCAATCCAAAATCATTATTGTTATTGATAGAATGAGTATTTCAATTTCATAAAATATCATGCAATCAGGTTCACTTTTAGTGCATAAAATTTCAATCATTTTGGTGGTTAGGTGGTTATTAACTTTCTTATCTAGAAATTCCAATCAAAAAAGCAATTCCTGCCTAAATAGAACCTCTATTAGTTTTAGTTTTCAACAGGAGTGAAGAATAGTTGTTTTAAGATTAATACATTTTTCCACAAGAAATTGTATGCTTGTTGTAGTAGTTCACAACATCTAAATCTACATTGCATATTAGATATGCATAAAAGACCTAGACCTTAAAATATTTAAAATAAAATTCCAAAAATATTCAAGTCTATGACCCTATTTGTAGATTTCATATTGATTTTGAGAGGTGTCCATCAAACAGTTCTTCCATAAATTCATTGACATTCCTCCGAGATGAGTTCATATAAATAGTGGTGATCTGAAATATTCAAGGACTATTAGGGCAAAATCAAACTTAATTTGGATTTACACATCTTTTTTTCTCCTTATAGATTATAATAGTGATTATGTGTTAAACTCGAGAAAATAATATGAGTGTTTTTGTTTGTTCAAGTTTGAAGTTTGTGTTGGAATATTTGCTTAGGACTGCCTAGGATTAAGGAATTAGTTTTATTTTCTTTAAATCTTATTTTAAAATTTTGATTTCTTTTAGTTATTTTTATGAACGTTGATTATGGAGCATTAATCACTTTCCTTTTTCTCTGTTTTGTATTGGGCGGCAATTTAAAAGAAGGTGCTGCTGTTTTTTTTTTTTTGAATTAAGAACATTCAAGCTTCTTCATATTTCTTCCTCCTCTTTCTCTTGTTCAAGAAACCTTCAATTGGTATCAGAGCTGGTATCAGAGCTCATTTCTTAACAGAGCTCATTTCTTAAAGGGCCTGTGTGTGCGTGCGACTGTTATGGAGATCGGTACCAGTTTTTCTTCGATTGTTTCGCCCTTGTTTTTTACAGTGAGAACTATCGGATTTGGGCGGTACGCATGGAGACTTATCTGGAAGCCTTGGATCTCTGGGAAGCAGTGGAAGAAGACTACGATATTCCTCCTCTTCCTGAAAATCCCACCGTGGCACAGATTAAAAAACAAAAGAAGAGTAAGACGAAAAAATCCAAGACAAAAGCCTGTCTGTTTTCTGCAGTTTCCTCCACAATCTTCACTCGAATTATGTCATTAAAAACAGCAAAGGAGATCTGGGATTATCTCAAACCTGAGTATTAGGGAGATGAAAGAATTCGAAGGATGCAGGTGCTGAATTTAATTCATGACTTTGAGTTGCAAAAGATGAAGGAGATAGAAAATATAAATGAATACTTTGACAGGCTACTCAACACAGTGAATCGTGTCAAATTATTGGGTTCTTCATTGGAAGATTTAAGGATTGTTCTGAAAATCCTTGTAACAGTGCCTGAAAGATTTGAGGCTACCATCACCACCTTAGAAAACACAAAGGATCTGACAAAAATTACTTTGTCAGAACTCTTGAGTGCCTTGCAAGCACAAGAGCAAAGGCGTGCAATGAGGGAAGAAGGAGCCGTTGAAGGAGCCTTACAAGTTAAGCATCAAGAAGATGAAAAGAATTGGAAATTCAAGAACAAGAAGTCTCAAGCCTCAAATGGACAAAGTTCTACATCTGGGAATAGAAGCAAAGTTGGAGTAAAGAAAGATTTTCCTCCATGTCAGCATTGTGGCAAGAAAGGTCATCCTCCTTTTAAATGTTGGAGAAGACCGGATGCAAAGTTCAGCAAGTGTAATCATTTGGGACATGAAGCTGTCATTTGTAAGAATGAAAATCAGCAGCAAAAAGATGAAGTGACAATGGCAGATCAAGAAGAAGAAGATCAGCTTTTCGTTGCAACTTGTTTCACGGGTCATGAAACAAGTGAAAGCTGGCTTATTGATAGTGGCTGCAATAATCATATGACACATGACAAGGAGTTTTTTAAAGAATTAAAGAGTACCGAGTCCAAGAAGGTCAGAATTGGGAACGATGATTATATTGAAGTCAAAGGAAAGGGCACGGTAGTCATTGCAAGCTGTTCAGGAACTAAATTGATCACTGATGTTCTCTATGTACCAGACATTGATCATAACTTGCTCAGTGTGGGTCAATTGATAGAGAAGGGATTCAAAGTGATGTTCATGAAGAATGCTTGTGTGATAGAGGATGCTACAGGCCAAAAGATGTTTGAAATCAAGATGGCAGGGAGGAGTTTTTTACTCAATCCAATGCAGGAGGAGCAATCAGCCTTTCTAATCAAAGAAAGTCTCTCAATGATATGGCACAAGAGACTCGGGCATTAACATTATCAAGGACTATTACAGATGAAGTCAAAAGGAATGGCAATTGGGCTTCCGGAGTTCGATGATCATATACTATCCTGTAAGGCTTGTCAATTTGG